GGATGGCATTGCAGGCAAGCTGCCGGCCGTCGCCATCGCCGCCCCCTCATGCGAGTGGACCTGCCCGGAGTGGTGGGCCGGGGGAGGCTCGCTCTCTGTGGGGATGTGGCCCGCACGCGCGGCCCCGCTTCCTCCTGCCCAGGGCTGAGCTCCTTACCCGCGATCTCGGTCTCGCGCACGCGGATCACACTTATTCTGAAGCTCGCGCCACTAGCCGGGGCTCTCACACCGTGCCAGGGCGAGGCGGCGCGGCCCACTGACGTCATCGCGGCTCGCCGCCGCCCTCGACTTCCCTGTTCCCTCCCCTCCCTCGGGTCGCCGTGGTTACCGAGGACTGCAAGCTGCTCGGGCGAGCGTGGGGCATTAAGTGGGAGAAGGAAAATTAAAATTAAAACTCGCCTGAAGGCCGCCTCTCCGGATACAGTGGTGCCTCGCAAGACGAAATTAATTCGTTCCGCAAGTCTCTTCATCTTGCGAGTTTTTCGTCTTGCGATGCACAGTTTCCCATAGGAATGCATTGAAAATCAAGTAATGCGTTCCTAGGGAAACCGCCTTCAGACCAGGTCCGGGGACAGTCTGTCCCCCGACCTCTTCTGAAGGCTGGGGGGGGGACAAGGGCTTTTCTTCCCACCCCCAGCATTTTAAAAAACCCCAGGACAGCGGAGGACTTCTCCGCTGTCCGGGGCAATCTTAAAATGCTGGCGGGCGGCATTTTAAAATCGCCCGGGACAGCGGAGGACTTCTCCGCTGTCCGGGGCGATTTAAAAGCCCCTGGGAAGGCAGGCAGGGGGGACAAAGATTTTCGCCCCCCGCCCGCCTTCAGAAGAGGTCCTGGACCTCTTCTGAAGGTGGGCGGGGGCGAAAGCCTTTGCTCCCCCCTGCCTGCCTTCCGGGGAGAGCGGAGAAAGGCAGCGCGTTTCTCCGCTGTCCCGGACGGCTTTTGAAGGCAGGCTTTTGAAAGCCGTCCGGGACAGCGGAGAAACGCAGCGCGCCCTTGCCGCTGCCCCCCGACTTGGCTGGAAGGCTGGCGGGGGGAGAAGCCTGCTCCTCCCCATCGCCAGCCCCGCAAACTCGGGGGACAGCGGGAGAGGCGCAGCGCGCCCTTGCCGCTCCCCCCCGACTTGGCTGGAAGGCTGGCGGGGGGAGAAGCCTGCTCCTCCCCATCGCCAGCCCCGCAAACTCGGGGGACAGCGGGAGAGGCGCAGCGCGCCCTTGCCGCTGCCCCCCGACTTGGCTGGAAGGCTGGCGGGGGGAGAAGACTGCTCCTCCCCATCGCCAGCCCCGCAAACTCGGGGGACAGCGGGAGAGGCGCAGCGCGCCATCCCGCTGTCCCCCGACTTGGCTGGAAGGCTGGCAGGGGGAGAAGCCTGCTCCTCCCCGTCGCCAGCCCCGCAAACTCGGGGGACAGCGGGAGAGGCGCAGCGCGCCATCCCGCTGTCCCCCGACTTGGCTGGAAGGCTGGCGGGGGGAGAAGCCTGCTCCTTCCCGTCGCCAGCCCCGCAAACTCGGGGGACAGCGGGAGAGGCGCAGCGCGCCATCCCGCTGTCCCCCGACTTGGCTGGAAGGCTGGTGGGGGGAGAAGCCTGCTCCTCCCCGTCGCCAGCCCTGCAAACTCGGGGGACAGCGGGAGAGGCGCAGCGCGCCATCCCGCTGTCTCCCGACATGGTTTGGAGGCTGGCGGAGGGCTTCCTCCTCCCCCAGCCCCGCAAGCTCCCAGAGCGATGCCAAAGCTGCGCGCAGCTTCGGCATGGCTCTGGGTCCCGTTCTGGGGGAGGGGGAAGCTCGGGCTTCCCTCGCCCCAGCCCCACGCCTGGCGGTGGGGGAATAAATTTTTCCCCCTTTATTCCCCCCCCCCGCCAATTTTTCCCGCGGCACACCAGGCAACGTCTCGCGGCACACTAGTGTGCCGCGGAACACCGGTTGGGAAACACTGGTCTAAGGAGACATGCATGCCAAAGTATCAGTCTGAAGAAGACTTTTAGAGAATAGGATTTAATGTGTTTCTGGTTTAAATATCCTTTTAAAGTTAAGCATGTATTGGATATGAAAGGTGGCTTTATTAATGAGGAATTTTAAAAAACATCGTAGGCTGTTAGCATTACTACTGGTGTTTGTTTGCTGTGGTAGGCTGAATGTCACCTTGGTTTGTAGAAAGAAATACCTATGGCAGGAGCCTTTTAAAAAGACACACAAGCTGATCTTACATCTTCATTTGGTTATGAAATCAGTATTAATTCTGACATTTTAGTGGAACTTGCCAGTGTTTAGTCTGCTGTGTGTGACAGTGTATAATTACAAATCAATTACTAATGAATTGTTAGCGTACATCATCCTGGCTAATTCCTTGCAAAACAATGTACAAGTCCTTTAGTCGTTATCTGAAAATACTTGGTCATGGAGAAATGCAAGTTTTATTATGAGACATAAATCCAGATCAGCTGCCAAGGTTGCATCTCATTCCTAGTCCTCGCTAACTTGGGAGTTTGTGTGTCTTTATTGATCAGGGAATTTGTGGCTGAAGATGGATTCCTCCAGGCAGAATCAGTTCCTTAGGAAGTTTTCTCTGAACTTGAAGAGAAAATTTCAAGTTTGACCTTGCAATATCTCCTAATAGCTAATTGAATGTCTGCAGGCTAAATATATACATGTGTGGGAAGACGAAAGAAAGCTGAATTACAACCATTATTATCTCAAAGAAGAAAATAGTTCTGATTATACTGGAGAGCAAGAGCAAAATATGTTTTCACCAACAGAACCATTATAGTTCAGTTGACATACAAGGGAGAAGAACTATTTTTCAGAATGTTTGCTGCATCAGAGAAATAAAATATATACATCTGAAATAGTGTAAACTGCAACGCTTTAGCAGAAATTGGTGGAATTAATTAGAAATATATAAAAGTGAAGAATCATATTACTAAAGGAAGCAACCAGGTCGTTTCCAAACAATTACTCCAGGAGCATGATTTATGCATTGTTTTTGATAAGAGGTAACAATCTTGGTACCAGGAAGGCAGGCAGGGCAATAGGACATTTTCATTGTTTGTTACCCACCCAGAATAATCAATGCTGGGGAAAAAGGATGGTGCCTTGATAGAATTGATAACTCTCTTAGCTTCTGAAGAGACAGTTGGCAAGGAAGAGGAAGAAGGACATACTATAAAATACAATACTATACTTGGCTGTACTATAAAAACTTGTTCTGATTACATGTGTTTTGCAAAATTATAAAATACATACAACAGCTGTGTCTATCCAGAAAGACAGTAGAGCAGACATTTCAGATTTTTGATTTTTTAAAAAACCTAATATATTTATTGGGAAACATATCATATTTCTGTGTAATCCTATTTCATTTCACAAAAGTTATGGATGCCCTTTCAATTGCTAGCATGAAAACAACAGCACTGTGGCCTTTTGTAGAAGCTGCTGAAAGTAATTTATTCTGGACACACAGTAGTTACGATTTTTCAAAGCTTCTTTTAGGTGACTTGGCTAATCATGTAAACCTGATTATTAGGCAGCTGCAGTTGGTCGTGTGAAGAGTCCTAATGCCGAACAGAAACAACAGTGAGTCTTGTGGGACCTTAATGACTAAGGTACCTTGAGGGCCACCCTAGCTGGTATAGCCTCTGCTCTGTGTGCAGAAAGCCCCAGGTCCAATGCTCAACATCTACAAGTAGAGCTGTTTCCAGTCAGTGTGAACCTTACTGAGCCAGACAGACCAATGATCCATTACATTATTATAAGGCAGAATCTCATAGTCCTAAAACATCAGCTGCTAGATGCTTCACCCTCTATCTTTGGGAAAGGTTGTAGCTCAGAGCATGTGCTCTGCATGGAGAAAGTCCCAGGCTCAGTCTCTGGGCCCCCTGAGTAGGGCTCAGAATGTGCCTGTCTGAAATCCTGGGCAGCAGGTGCCAGTCAGTGTAGACAATTATGAGCCAAATGGGTGCCACAATACAAGACAGTTTCTTTGGTTCCTTGGCTGGCTTTGCTGCAGCAAACCAACATAACCACCCACTGGAAAGCAGTGAATAGATCAGTGCTGCAACCTTCCATGGAGTCCTGCCATGCTGAATTGATTTTCAGTAAGCTTCCTGCGGAGGCTATAATGATATAAGAAAAGGCACGTCCTCAGCTGTGCAGGTGCTTGATTCTCTTCCTTCCATGATTTAATTCACTTGGCCATATTGGGAATAATGATTAAACTATAGGAGTTTCCCCATAACTCCTTTAGCATTCATTTTAACATCTTGATTTTCATATGATTTCACTAATTTTAGAAATTCATAGTCAATACAGGTATCTGATTCTGAAGTCTTAAGGATAGCAGAAGGCACACCTGAAACTGTGGTGTGAGGTGCAGTGGGCAGAGGCCTGGCCTTCTTCCTCTCCTTTAAAGCTTTTTTAAATATGCAGGGACACTTTAGGCTTCTTTTCTCTAGACTGATCACAGTCAGTTCCTTCAACATCTCCTGATATGTTTTGCATCATTAATCATTCTACTTAATGCTTTCTTCTGAATCTTTTTTTATTTTTTATTTTGCTTAAAGGCATGTCTGTGCTGTCCCGCTATTTTTCATTTTGGTTTGTCCATCTGGGCTTCCATTGTGGACTCAGGTTATTTAAAACAAGTATTGGATATGAGCACAGAAAGTTGTGGGTTTACTGCACACACCAGTAGTTTTGTTGTGAGGTGCAAATGTGTGTGTGTGTGTGTGTGTACATGTATGCATATCTGTGGGAAGGAACTCTGTGGGGTAGTGAAGTATCCCGGGTTATGCAAGGTCAGAAATACTCCTGTCCTCACTCACCCAAACTTACAATTATTTTGTGTGCAAAATAATTTAAATGAATAAGTGAAGAAAAAAGCTTTGACAATTAAGAATGAGAATCTGGGATCAGATCAACTTTGCAAAATATTTAGTTATTTTGAAAGATAACTTATGTCTCTATTCCCTTTCCGCCTACTATTTAAAAACTGTCTTCTGTTCCAGAGTCGAAATAAACATTTGGATAAAGTACATGTAGTACTTGGAAATAAAACCTGTGATTTGGATTCACTTATTTCAGCTTTAACGTATGCCTACTATCTTGAAAAGGTAAAGTATTTTCTACTGATATTACACTATATTTTAAAATAATTATAAGCCCATTGTAACATGTTGATCTTTTTCACCTAACTATAAAACTGGATGAGATCAATAATAAAATATTCTGATTTTATGATTGAGGAACTAATGCTGGGTCACTGCTTTATTGCCTGCATTTTTCCCTTATAGATTCATCACAGCCATCCAAAAGCCATCTCAGTTATGTAATTTTCCCTGAGTCAAGGTTGTCTACCTCTGTCCACACTTGAATGCATTTTCCTTAACTGCCCATAGACTGACTGCCCTCTCCCCGTCATCTGCCTTGCACTATTATCATCACAATCCCTCAACCGTCCCTCATAAGGCTTGGTTTCCAGACCCTTTATCATCTTGGTCGCCCTCTTCTGCACACACTCCAGCTTGTCAAAATCCTTGAATTGTGGTGTCCAGACCTGGACATAGTACTCCAGATATGGTCTTGGTCAAGGCAGAGTAGAGTGCCACTAGGACTCCTCCTCTCCAGGGTCTTCCCCACAGAGTCCCAGGCTGCCTCTGCACACAACCCCTCTCTGCTCTGCCTGTTTTATTTCTCTGCAAGTTCTGGAAGACCAGTGGGGAGAGGAGCTGGTCGCAGCAGGAGGGGGAGACTCCCTGGATTCTTCAGCAGCCTGTCTCCACTCTGCCTCTTGGCCACCCTCCCCTCCAGCCTCCGCTGCAGTCTCAGAGTCAGAGTCTTTCGGAGTCTGCAGAGTCACTGCAGTCTCTCTGCCACAGCCTCTTCCTGTTCACTAAACCCTGCCACCTCTTCTGCTGCTGGCACCTCCTCCCCCCAGTCTGCTCTTTCTCCTTCTGACCACTCATTGTCACCCCACCAGCAATCCTCTGGCTTGGAGCCTTCTTCCCCTGGAGGTTCCCTAGGGGCTTCTCTGGCTGCTGCCTCCCAGCACTCCTCTGCATCCAACAAGTTCATGATACCTGCCATCACCACACTTCACAGCCCTGCTTTTTTGTGACACATCTCTCCTTGGGTGATCTTCCTCTTCCCAAGGGGCACCGTGCCTGCATCTCTGTTCCAGGACAGTCCACTCTGATCGAGCAAGAATTTCCTCATCTTGTCCAGTAGCTTGAAGTTTAGATACGTGGGCCTCAGGTTGCTGGACCTTCTCTTCCAGCAAGGCAACTTGCACTTGCTGCTGGCGTAGTTTCACATGTTTTCAGGCAGGAAGGCAAACACGGCACAGGTGTTACAGGTCACTTCGGTAGTTCCCTCACCATTCATGTCTCTTGTACACCCTGATGTATACCTCCCCCCCACACACTTGTGAAAGAAGATAGTAATGTATGAAATTGCAGTGATGAAAAGTTTTAAGTGCAAGCCTGTCCATTATGAAAAATTATTCACAGTTTTTGAGTGCTTTCTAATTCACAGGGATTCTCTGCTTACAGGTCAGTCCACCTAACATTCTGTGCTTGCCTGTACTGAACATACCAAGAAGAGAATTCTGCTACTGCACAGAAACGAGGTTTATTTTGGAGGAACTGAATCTCCCAGAGTCTCTCCATATCTTCTGTGATGAAATCAATTTGTATCAGCTGAACAATGAAGGGAAATTGTCTCTTACGCTTGTGAACAGCAGTGCACTAACAAGGTATCGTGCTCCATATCTGATTACTAGCAAACGTGAACTTGGCAAAGATTTACCCTTGGTAAATCTTGAAAATCCCAAGTGTGAGACTTGCCTTTGTTTTCATCAGAGTGCAAGCTGTTCATGAATACGCAATGAAACAGTTAAGACAACAAAACTCCTTAGCTTTTCTGTACCTATTTACACAGTTCATGTGATTACAAAGATCACATGTTGGAGATCACACACTCAAGTCATAGATGCATGAATGTTCTATCTTTTTATCTCTCTCTCTGCTTATATCTCTTTCTTGCCCAGCAACACATAGATATGCTCTGAGTGGTACAAGAATGCCCAGTTTTGAGGGGTGCTGTGAACCCTTCCCTTGTTGGATCTGTGAATAGAGCACAGAATTTCTGGATGGGGTTGCTCAGAAGGGCCCTGTCTTTCATGCACCCATACAAAGCTGTTATAATGACAAAGTGCTCGTGAATGGCATCATCAAGAACACATTAAAGGCTGAGTGCTTTTCAACTACTGTGTCCCATCAGCGTATGGATTTCCACTTGGCAGAGGGACTTTCCCCTCTCTCCTCCCCCCATGTGAGCCCCGCACCCTCTTCAGATCTGCTCCAGGGGGTGGGCGAAGGCCTAGAACAGATTAAGGGTGTGTGTGGGATAATGCTCTATTGCACAAGAAGAAATCCTTGCACTGACAGAACGAGAGACTTAGTGCTATGTTGTACTTCACCCTAAGGGCCAAATGAGGTGTGATGTGAAATGCAGTTGTGCAAACTTTTTAAAAAATGGAAATAGCATCAGCTGAGGGCACAGCTGATAGTTATTCAGATGACAGCAGAATTTAAGCATTTCTTCCTGTTCTACGGTCCTCAGCTCTTCCTCTGGAGATAATATTTGCTTTCAGGGTGGGTGGGAGAATTGAGCCCCCCCCCACCAATTGATGTCAGTTGGATTATTTTTACACAAAAAACTTGTTGCTTTTAAAAAGACGAATAAAAAGTGTTTTTTCCTGGGAGTACGCAGTACTGGCACCTTCTTCTTTCATTTCTTCAATTCTGGTTTCTACCCTACTTTCCCCACGGTAAATCTTTAAAGGGAAGCCACATTTGGCAACTAGCTGAACTCCACCCTTCTGCAGAAATAGATGGGGAGCGGTGGGGAGAGATGATGCTTTGCTTCCTCTCCGGCAGCACATGTCTGAAAACTGGCACACAGCAGTTTTCCTCCTTCCAAAGATGCACTGAGGATGAAGTTGGAGAGATGAGCTTTGGGGATGAGACAAAGAGCCCTTGAGCAAAATTAATTTTGGGTTACTTTTTGTGTATATTCACAGATCATAAGTCAAGTGTTTTCTGGGACTAGCAGAGAGGGCAGGGAGGCTACTATTAAGAAAGAATGCCTCTCCGTCTCACCATTTAAAATATGCTAGTGTGCATATCCTGTGGAACTTCTTTGCACAATGCAGGAAGTCATAAAAGGAAAAACAGTGTGAATCAAACTTCCTCTTTTCCAGCTTCTGACAAAATGCAAAGTGCAGCTTGTGTAACAACCCTGTGAACCCATCCTGCTGGGAGGAGTGGGTGACAGACATAGAAAGGCGATTTCTGTGCTGGCATTCTTTTCAAGACATCTTAAATAATAATGACCAAAATGGAATGGCATTATCATTGTGTTGCTTAACTGCATAGTATCAACTAACTGCATTTAGATGACTTTGCCATATAGTTCAGAGAAATGGCATAAAGAAGAAAACTTTTGAAACCTTTGCTTTTGTAGTGAAGATAAAAATTTGGAATCAGCTGTTGTCAGAGTCATCAACCCTGAAGAGCGATGTGATGGCAACCTGGAGACCTCAGCGTCCTCTTCCTCTCTGGTAGCGAAAGAGATTCTCCAAGAGGCACCAGAGTTAATCACTCGGCAACTGGCTCATCTTCTCAGAGGTGAGAGATTGTTCTTTATATTAAATACTGAAAGGTTTAATGGAGTGTTTCTGAATCCAGTCATGCAGAGAGACTGTGATCCATTCTTTGGTTAACAATCCCTTGAAAGACCATAGGAAGCTGCATGAAGGAAGCAGGGTGCAAAGAGTTTGATAAAGAGTAACATTATGTGGAACAATAAAAATGTGCATTTAAAAACAGGAATGACTAGGGTGTTAAGTGCAGATATCTGCATGTCAGTTGGGTAGGAGAATATCTTCTGTGTCTAGCTTTGTTTCTGGGACATGTCGGATTTGGAAATAAATGCCATAGCACTCAGCGAATATTATCAAAGGTATATGACCTAATTTTGTCCTCTGCCGTCCTTAGGGCGACTATTTAAACTATTTAAACAAAAAGGAGGAACTGCATCACCATAATGAGGGCAAAAGAGGGATGTGCATATTTTTTAGAGGTTAACTTATGTATAGATTAAATGCAAATTTAGAAATAATAACAATAATGTTAATAATAATAATTTTAATAATAATAATTTTAATAATAATAATTTTAATAATAATAATAATAGCCCAGCTTCTTTCCTGACAGGGACTTTGCTAAAATAGGAACCGCTGAAAACACAGGGGGGGGATCATTAAAATACAATTAAACATTGATAGAATTAAAACTATATCATTACTTGCTACTCCCATCTTTGACCCATTCCAGGGAGTTCCAGACATGCTTTGCTCACGATCTGTTTCCTTTTGGAAATGAGGTACAGCAGAGACTGTGGTGTTTTTATAAGATAGGGTTTATTTGCACGTATATACAACCTGAGTCTACAATGGAGGGGTTCCTAGCGTTACACTCCAGGAGGGTCTTGCTTCCTCTATAGGCACAATTTAGGATTCAGAAAGACACCAGCCATGGCTCTTTGACCCTTTCTCTAGTTTGCTGTATTTAACAGACTGGCATTATTTTACACCATCCCACATCATCCCCACCTGCAGTCCTACTCTCCTCTCTGCATTGTCTCTGCTAAATATCGCAGAATTCAGGGAAGGGCTCTATCCATTCGCCGAGTGGCACAGTCTTTGCTTTGCTGATGGTCCATGTCCATGTCTTTTTTCTCTGTTAATGGCCCATGTCTCAGGCGATATCCTGAACCCAGGAAGCTGGTTTGACATTTATTTTAACACTTTGCTAAATCCAGCAGCTAATTTTAACATGCCAAGCATTGATTCTAACACCTTTCAGAACCAGGAGTTTACGGAAGTCTGGCACCCACAAACCCTGGCACTGACAGCTCTTAACTATAACCATGTATTTTTTTTTGTGTGTGTGTGTGTATGTGTGTGTGTATGATCGATTAAAAACAAACAGATAATTACAATGAAAACAGCACCGCACCTGCCCTTTCATTAAAACAGTCAGTTCCCAAAAGCCTCTTGGAACAGGAAAGTCTGTTTTTATCAGGAAAACTTTCTGACAGTGAGAGCTGTTCAGCAGTGGAACAGTGGATTCTCAAGAGAGGTGGTGGACTCTCCTTTCTTGGAGGTTGAGTGGCTTTGACTGTAATTTAAATATAAATACAGTACATCTTAGCATAGTGATTAGGTGACCTGTGTGCCTCCTCAGACTGCTGTCCAGAAGCTCATTGCTGATGGACAACAATAAGATTGTTGGTCTCCCTATTTTGGTTCTTTGTCTTTAGACTGAACTTGGACTGAACTTGAAACAGAGGACCACCTCAAGCAGAGCATTGTCCTCTGTGTAGTAATGCATGTGGCTGCCTAGGCTTGCGTCCTAGCTAGCATAAAATGATGTAAACAGAATAGTAGGGCCAAAAATCCAGTTAGAGTCCATCTAGTCCAGTGTTCTGTGATGGCGAGATAGTCAAACACCCTGTGAAAAAGCATGTGTGAACCATGCAGGGTGGAGAGGACAGGACACCCACCTCCTGGCTGTCCCCAGCATTCATTTCTAGGTAACGTTCTTCACATAGGATCTATTCTGGTGGCAATTACAAGTCTATTTGGAATCTACTCCTTTCCTTTCCGATTGCTTTGCGTGACCCTGAATTCTGTTCTTTAGGAAGAGAATTACCTCTATTCACTTGCTGCACACCATAAAGCTTTCGATAAGGGCTAGTCAACCTTTTTATACCTACCACCCACTAATGCATCTTTCTTGATGGTAAAATTTCCTTACCACCCACCAGTGCTCGGTGGAAGGAGGATTCAACTTGTGCTGTAGAACCCCCTACCACCCACCTAGAATCCTGAAACGCCCATATACTGAATGTGATGAAGTCTAGATGCTTTATAACTAAGCAGATTTAGCTTTATGTCAATATTACTGAAGGAAAACAAAGCCTATTCAGAGTGAGGGGGAATGCTTTCTGAATTGGGAGAACACATTCTGTTAGTGCATAAAGGTAAAGGTAAAGGGACCCCTGACCATTAGGTCCAATCGTGACTGACTCTGGGGTTGCGGTGCTAATCTCGCTTTACTGGCCGAGGGAGCCGGTGTACAGCTTCCGAGTCATGTGGCCAGCATGACTAAGCCGCTTCTGGTGAACAAGAGCAGTGCACGGAAACGCCGTTTACCTTCCCGCCGGAGCGGTACCTATTTATCTACTTGCACTTTGACATGCTTTCGAACTGCTAGGTTGGCAGGAGTAGGGACCGAGCAACGGGAGCTCACCCCGTCGCGGGGATTCAAACTGCCGACCTTCAGATTGGCAAGTCCTAGGCTCTGTGGTTTAACCCACAGCGCCACCCGCATCCCCATTTAGTGCATAGATAAGACTAAATAAAAAGCTTAGCCTTTAAACAATAAATGTTTGCTTTTTAAACTAGTTCCTTATCTGTGTACTAAATGCTTGTTTTTTAAAATGCAATCTCATTATAATATATTTCAGCCCTTAGGCTTCATAAAGGTAAAAAAATAAAAGTATGCAAATCCATCAACAGCTAGAAAGAGATGATATTTGTAAAGGAATCAGCACCAGCAGTGCTATGCTAACAGACATATCTGTGCAAAGATTATACTTACTGTGAGGTAGGTTTCATGTTCAAATTGTTTTAAAGACCTGCTTTTCCCTGATATCTTTGTCATTTCTTCATGTGCACAGTAAATTACTTTTTCCCGGTGGACTTTATCAAAACCTGCTTCAAGAATCAAAATACTCCAAGACAGGCTCTACCGTGAGTCAAGGCCTGCCCCATTTCTGGGCTTATGCCAGAAGCAAACAATTAGAAAACCTGCCAGAGATTTGAGCCTGTATAATTTTATTTCCCGAGAGCCGTTGACTAGGGGACGGTTGCCAAACTAAGGATCCATTAAATTGCTGAATCATTACATTTTTGGTGGGAGCCAGCTGGCAAGGATGTAATTCAGTAAACTGACTGTCAGGTATCTTGGGTCAGTGCACTCTCAGAAATACCTCCTTCTGTTTATTTGTATAAGGCCTTGAAGGATGCCACAAGGAGCACAGATTGTAACATGTAAACACAGACAAATTTAAAAAGGAAACCATCATTGTAACTCATGGCATAAATTAGATGCAGACTCCAAAATTCCACCCATTGCTGTGGATGGTCTAAGGGGCCTTCCAGTGATTGGGTGGGGGGTAATTTTATTTTTTTGTTGCTCACATTGACTGTTATAATAAGTTCCCTTTTAGAAGCTTAGAAGGAAAGCTAGCATTTGAAAAGAGTGTTGTTTGCAGAATGGATGGCTCACCCTTTTCTTATATGGTCACAAAGGTTGAGTGAATTGCATCAGTAACCTTTTATAGATTTCACTCTGAAAAAGGGAAGGGGATTTTCCAAAACCATGAAAACAAATTTAAAATACAGTCAGGCAATGCTAAGATTTTCGGAGGGTGGCAAGAAAGAGTGGAAACCTGCCCTCCCCCAGCACTTTTAGGAGAGAAAAGGAATCCAATAAGAACTTTTGGTTAAAAAATATACTCCTCACCACTACCGCCTTTAGTCCTTGTCCTCTGCAGGAGAATCTCCTGCTGTTGGACGTTTTCTAGAAGTAATCTACAATAGGAGCTCTTGTCTGAACAGATGGAGGGGACTCCATTTTTATTTCAAATCCATGGCACCTCTCTGTAGCTGTTTTATGTCACATTCAAAGAATCAAAGAAATAAAAAGTGACTTCTTTGCCAGGACAGCACCTGAATTTTGTGCACCTAATGCTAAGACTGATGTGCAGAGAACCTAGCCAGGAATGAATGAATGAATGAACGAACAGTGACCACTATGAACAAGGCAGTCATCAAAGCATTAAAAAACAGAATGAGAGTATGTTTACCACTGTCCTCTTTCCCCATCCCTCTGATACTTCTCCCCACAACTTTAGACAGATTCATCTTTTGGAAGAGGGAGAATGGTATGCGTTGGCATTCTGAATGTTTTCATCTGCAACTGGTTAAGAAGCTGATTCTTTAAAATAATAATCCATTTCAATTTACTTTTCTGTATATTGCTTTTGCTACCCGCAACATGTACAGATGTACACAGTCTCAGCATTTATGTCTTGTCGTAATTGAGATCCTGAATGGGTTTGGCAAAAGCTGTTGTGCAATTATTGTTTAATTTGTTACCAATTGTTTAATTACACTGCGTTGACAAGTGATAAATTAAAATAAAATTAATCAAATAATGTTACTGTAGTTGTATTGAAGCATAGCCTTCTTGATCTTTTTTTCTGTACAATTAGGCTCACAAATCAGTGCTGATCTTCTAGTCAGCTTTAATTCTAAGCTAATGAGCCTGTGTTGCTTTACAACTTGGCTGCTGTTACCTATCACTTTCTGAACTCTGAGCCAATTGCTTTAAAATATGTAATAATTGATTTTCTCTTTTCTTGCCACACTTTTAGTTGTATCATATGGAGACCTGTAAGTTTTTCCTCTCTGCATCAGTTGATTGTGGCTTTGAAATCCCCCCCCCCCGGCTGTTAAAAAGCAAATAATTTTTCCTTGGTGGTGGTAGAAGGAGTGGTTCAAAGCTGTATAAACAAGAAAATGCACAATATGTGGAGATTCAAGTAGTCTGCTATGAATAAGAAAGACTGAAAAGAAACAAAAGGATAGCAGGCCATTTCTTTAAATAGTCATGAATTTTAGGGCTGATGTGGGAAAGAATATTAGTTTCTGTCTTCTGGGCTAACTTTCTCCGGTTAACACTTCAGGGAGCATCCTCTCTTTGGCCATGGATCCTGAACAAATTACGAGAGACCAGGAAGAAGTGCTTTCAAAGTTAGAGGAGAAATTCCCAGAGCTGCTGCCTCGAGAGGATATTATCACCGCTCTACAGGAAGTTCATCTCCATGCAGATGGTAAAGGGTTTTTCTCTCCCCTGCCCTTCACTTTTGTTTCCTACTTTTAGACGGATTGGAACATGACATTCTGTAAAACCAGGACACCCATTAAATGTTTTTTAAAGCACCATATACACACAGAAAAAAAATCCCACCAACCTTTCACCACATGCAGTGATTATTTATAGGATAGATGAGCAGCATGCATAGCGTCTTTTCATAGGTGGTGATACTGTCTATGAAAGAAAAGTGTGGAAACTTGTGCAGTGTACAGTGGTACCCCGCAAGACGAACGCCTCGCAAGACGGAAAACCCGCTAGACGAAAGGGTTTTCCGTTTTGGAGGCGCTTCGCAAAACGAATTTCCCTATGGGCTTGCTTCGCAAGACGAAAGCCCATAGGGAAATCTCCGGGGACCTCTTTTAAATGCTAGCGGTGGGGAGCAAAGCCTTTCCCCCCTCTCCGGCCTTCAGAAGAGGTCCAGGAAGGCTGGCGGGGGCCGAAAGGCTTTGCTCCCCACCGCCAGCATTTTAAAAGCAGTCCGGGATAGCAGGGAAGCGCTTCCTGCTATCCCGGACGGCTTTTGAAGGCAGGAGAGGTCCGCGAAGCCTGGGCGCGCTGATCTCAGCGCGCGCAGGCTTCGGCATGCCGGCAACTCACCGCAAGCAGCGGCAGCGCTGCCGCTGCTTGCGGAGAGGTCCGCGAAGCCTGGGCGCGCTGATCTCAGCGCGCGCAGGCTTCGGCATGCCGGCAACACTCAGCAAGCAGCGGCAGCGCTGCTGCTGCTTGTGGAGAGGTCCGCGAAGCCTGGGCGCGCTGATCTCAGCGCGCGCAGGCTTCGGCATGCCGGCAACTCACCGCAAGCAGCGGCAGCGCTGCCGCTGCTTGCGGAGAGGTCCGCGAAGCCTGGGCGCGCTGATCTCAGCGCGCGCAGGCTTCAGCATGCCGGCAACTCACCGCAAGCAGCGGCAGTGCTGCCGCTGCTTGCGGAGAGGTCCGCGAAGCCTGGGCGCGCTGATCTCAGCGTGCGCAGGCTTCGGCATGCCGGCAACTCTCCGCAAGCAGCGGCAGCGCTGCCGCTGCTTGCGGAGAGGTCCGCGAAGCCTTGGCCGGACAGCTTTTGAAGGCAGGCGGGGGGGAGCAAAGACTTTCGCCCCCGCCAGCCTTCAGAAGAGGTCCTGGACCTCTTCTGAAGGAGGGCGGGGGGCAAATGTCTTTGTCCCCCCTGCCTGCCTTCCCGGGAGAGTGGAGAAACGCAGCGCGTTTCTCCGCTCTCCCGGGAGGGCTTTTAAAGGCAGGCAGGGGGGACAAAGACTTTCACCCCCCGCCAGCCTTCAGAAGAGGTCCAGGACCTCTTCTGAAGGCTGGCGGGGGGCAAAAGTCTTTGTCCCCCCTGCCTGCCTTCCCAGGGGCTTTTAAATCGCCCCGGACAGCGGAGAAGTCCTCCGCTGTCCCAGGGCGATTTTAAAATGCCGCCCGCCAGCATTTTAAGATCGCCCCGGACAGCGGAGAAGCCCTCCGCTGTCCCGGGGTTTTTTAAAATGCTGGGGGTGGGAAGAAAAGCCCTTGTCCCCCCCCAGCCTTCAGAAGAGGTCGGGGGACAGACTGTCCCCGGACCTGGTCTGAAGTCGGTTTCCCTAGGAACGCATTAATTGATTTTCAATGCATTCCTATGGGAAACCGTGCATCGCAAGACGAAAAACTCGCAAGAAGAAAAAACTTGCGGAACGAATTAATTTCGTCTTGCGAGGCACCACTGTATTTTATCATGACCGATGGGGCATGGCTGTTAAATGGCTTCCCAGTGCTGCACACCACTGCTGGTTACCAGAAGGGAGAGAGGCAGGGCAGTGGGGCACTTGGTGCAGTGCAAGCGGAGTGGTGGCAGAGTGGCGGATTGGTTCTGCCGCTCTGCCTGCACCAAGCTCCCAATTGCCTTGCTGCGTTGTCATGTGATAACCAGAAGCAACCTGGAGCATTTGGAAGTCAGGCCATCAGTGCAGCCCTGTCCCTGCCACTCCATTGGCCGCTATCACCTGCAGATATTGTTGGGCTAGAATTTCCATCATCTCTGACCATTGGTCATGCTGGCTGGGGCATCTGAAGGGCCACAGGGTCCTCTCCCCTGGTTTACAGGAAGCTGATAGAAGACGTGTGGCCCTCCAACATAACATTGGTATGCTGTGCATGCAGCTGGGGGATTGAATAATAATAATAATAATAATAATAATAATAATAATAATAATAATTTATTATTATTTATACCCCCATCCATCTGGCTGGGTTTCCCCATCCACTCTGGGCAGCTCCCAACAGAATATTAAAAACACAATGAAACATCAAACATTAAAAACTTCCCCAAACAGGGCGGCCTTCAGATGTCTTCTGAAAGTCAGATAGTTGTTTATTTCTTTGACATCTGGTGGGAGGGTGTTCCACAGGGTGGGCACCACTACCGAGAAGGCCCTGTGCCTGGTTCCCTGTAACCTCACTTCTCGCAGGGAGGTGCCAACCACCAGAAGACCCTCAGAGCTAGACCGCGGTGTCTGGGCTGAATGAACAAAAGTTGGCATAAAAGATAGGACTCCCAGCTCTACATCTGCTCTCATTTCATGCACACAATTTATTTAGTTTTTGAACATTTAAAATAGTCTGTTTACTCAAAGAAGCATGACACTGCTGCTTTTCTGTTTGAGTGTGGCTGCTGCTGTTTTGGCTGCATTCTGGTGGGTGAGATAGAATTCATGGCGATTATATTTACAGGTCAAATATTAGATATTTGGACACTGTGGATCCAGCAGGCACAGTTTCTTAGGGTGCGATCCAAACTACCGCCTTGCTATTGGGCTTTGCAAAGTGATAGGGCCACCGAGGCATCCACAGTCCTGCTGCTCAAAGCCCCTGCAGTGGGAAGTGGTGGGTGGGCAGGACCAATGCTTTCATGTGGTGGTAAAGAGAGTATATTGGGGAGAGAGTGGCTCCTTGGCTGGCTCAGCCCTGCCCAGCCCTCAGAATGCTCTGTATTGAAGCGTTCTGCTTCCTCCCTTGGTGGCGGCAGGAGGGAGGAGACAGGGCTTACCTGGGGCTGGGAGAGAGCTGGGTAGAAATACACTTCCACCTAATCCACTCCTCCAAGTCTAGTGTAAGAGGGTTTGCACTGCTCTTTTATGGTGCTTGTACAGCAAAATATTTTGCCTGTAGTGAATTATCCCAGTTTTTCTTCAAGGCAAAAAAGGAGCAGATTTACTTTTTACATAGTAGAAATGAATTGTTATTTGTTGGGTTGCTTAGCATGACAAACAAAACCATTATTCAGTATTCAAAAACATCCAGTATTCTTCTCAAAGTCAAGTTCTTTGTTACATTCCAGTTCGCTGATTCTTAGTACGTATGAATAATTTTCCTGTCTGTCCCACAGGGCTAAGGATTGAGGAGGCCATGCTCAAGGATCTAAAAGAGGTGTCAGATGGAGAAATAAAAGTAGCTGTTAGCACTGTGTATATGAATTTGGAGGTAAGGAGAAAGCGACTTGTGATGGGATTGTTTAGCTTTGCCCATGGCGTTGTTTGCTGCATTGCATGAGATGTGTGCCACTTCCTGTGATTGACGTATTTCTTTCCCAGGCATTTTAAATCATGTGTTATTAGACAACTTGCAAAGCATTCTGGATGTGACTGCAGGTTTTGTATCTGCCATTGTGACTGGATCTGGCATCATCTTTGTGACAAATATGAACTTGACAAAACAAAAATTTGTCAGATACGTCTGCTAATGCCAGTATAATTGGCAGTGTTAATGCTTTTGAAAGTGACAGCTGAAGATTGAGACTAGCTTTGCTGTGGTGTTTGCCTTTCCTGGGAGATTTCTCCAAGTGATATCAAAATATTGCTCTCTGGGACTGCCAGTTTCTTCTCTTGCATTTTACCCTTTTTGCCCTGCATTATACTATACCCTGAGAGTATATATATGCCTGTTCCCTACTGGGATTTCCTTATAAATGACAACTATTTTATCAAAGTGACTTTAGAGTAGAATTGGTTTTCTCTTAAGAAGATGAATAATATTTACTCAGTGGGTGTATCTTACAATTTAAATGTTTTGTTTTTTTGTTTTAAAAAGTCACTCAGACCTATTTACTGGGCAACTGTGTGTGCATGCCTTGTTTGTGTGTGTTGGTGAATATAATGATAGCTTTTTGCACTTGCATCAGTCATCCATCCACTTGCTACCCTTTATCTTATTGTAGTATGTGTTTAGATTGCCTTGGCACAGAGGCCACTAATAAATGCTTCACATTTGACATTTTTCTGACATAGAGATGGCCTCTAGACCTGCAAACACATGTCTGTTGTGATGTGTGGCATCTCTGATTTATTTTGCAGGGAACATGTGACATAATATAAGCAGGTGCATTCTGGTCAGTATTCTTTCCAAACATGAGGATATATGTGGCTGCAGTAGACACAGGCCCAATCCGGAGAGAGTTACTCCTACCTCATTTTTATTGCATCAAGTAGCTCTTACATTTAACTTTGGGCCAAGGCATAGATATACACGACACATAGATCTGGATTATATCCATAGAGAATAACACACAAGTACTCTTTTATAAATTGTGTCAATATCAGCTCATTTCCTATGTAAGCTCCATTCAAATGAACTGAGGCACAAACTTGTGGGTTACTGAAAAATATTGTAATTTGTATTATTTACTTCCAGCTTCCACCCATCTAACATTAAGAAACCCATTTAGTGTAATGATGCATGCTAATCAAGGGTTATAGGTATTCTTGTATTCTAAAGCCACATTTATGCCATACATTTAAAGCAGTGATACCACTTTAAACCGTCATAGCTTCTCCCAAAGAATTCTGGGAGCTGCAGTTTGGTAAGGGTGCTGAGAGGTGTTAGGAGACTCTTAACCCCCTTATAGGAACGCGGGTGGCGCTGCGGGTTAAACCACAGAGCCTAGGATTTGCCGATCAGAAGGTTGGCGGTTTGAATCCCCGCGATGGGGTGAGCTCCCGTTGCTCGGTCCCTGCTCCTGCCAACCTAGCAGTTCAAAAGCATGTCAAAGTGCAAGTAGATAAATAGGTACCACTCTGGCGGGAAGGTAAACGGCGTTTCCGTGTGCTGCTCTGGTTTGCCAGAAGCGGCTTATTCATGCTGGCCACATGACCCGGAAGCTGTACGCCGGCTCCCTTGGCCAATAAAGTGAAATGAGCGTTACAACCCCAGAGTTGGTCAGGGGTCCCTTTACCTTTACCTTTAACCCCCTTATGGAGGTACAGTGCTTAGAATTTCCTGGGAATGGGTTTATTGTCAAACCCTCTGAGAACTGTAGCTCTGTTATGGGAACAGGGGTCTCATAGCAACTCTCAGCATCCTTAACTGTGGCTCCCAGAATTTTTTGAGGGAAACCATGACTACTTAAAGTGGTATCATAGTGCTTTAAATATATGCTGTGAATGTGGCTTGTGAGGGTCTTACTCAAGATTTTTTGTTTTGTTTTTGAACCAGATTTCAACAGTAGTAAAAAGGACTATTTTTTTCTGTATTAGGCCCCCAGTCTTTGGTGGAACACCCCCCATGTGTCCTTATAAGGTTTTGAGTTCCTTTTTCTTTCTGTATCTTGTCCTCAGGCATAGGTAGTGCTAGGTTGGAGGTTCGAATTTGCGCAAAGGGGTGAGCTCCTGTTGCTTTGTCCCAGCTTCTGCCAACCTAGCAGTTCAAAAGCACACCAGTGCAAGTAGATAAATAGGTACCGCTGCTACGGGAAGGTAAATGGTGTTTCTGTGCACTCGGTGTCCCATTGTGCCAGAAGCAGTTTAGTCTTGCTGGCCACATGACCCGGAAAGTTGTCTGTGGACAAACGCCGGCTCCCTTGGCCTGAAAAGCAAGATGAGCACCATGCCCCATAGTGGCCTTTGACTGGACTTAACTGTCCAGGGGTCCTTTGCCTTTACTTTTTACCCTAGGTAGTGCAAGGTATACTGCCCAGCACTCAGCCATTACCATAATTTGGAGACTCACATGTGCTTCCCTTTGTGTAACTTTGGATTACACAATTTAAAATGTTGCTTCTATTGTACAAACATTCACATGGCGTTTTAGAGATGGCATTCAGGCTGATTATAGAAATTTGTATTTGATGCCAGCAAACCAAGTAAATATGCTGCTGTTTAATCTTTTAGTAATAGCATTTGAAACAAAATTCTGACTAACTTGTGAGCTCTCTCCCCCCCCCCCCCGGTGCCTTTTCTGAGGAGTTAGGGTAAAATAAATGATGTATGGAGCTGTAGGAATGAGACTTTGGCAGGGTACCTTACGTCTAAGGAACATTAAACATAGGGCTCTTGTTTAGCAAATAAATAACCATTCACTTCAATGGTTGCATAGCCTGGACTTGTGTGCATATTTTTGCAAAGATAAGGAGAGGCCATTAGGGATTTAATATAAAATAAAGCGCCAAGGGGTCTTCTTGTAGTCCTAGTCTTTCTGCCACATGGTGTGTTACTAATGTGCCTAAATGGGCTTAAATGAATTTGTTATCTTTACTACATTTGCAGTGTGTATATATTTATATATTATTTTAATTGCGTTCTTTATAAAAGAAAATATATCATATTTTTAGATGTTGAAAACATTGCACACATAAACAAATCATACTTTTTAAAGCATCAGATAATCTTTGCCTGTAGGTGACTTCATGATGCAGCTATTGTACAGCAGGAAGTATGCCGTGAGTTCATCTTCTCAGATATATTCCTAGTTAAGTAATCACCTTCTGAGAACAAATGGGGCAGCCAAAGATCCATTACTGAATACCCTCTCCTCACAAGTTTAAGCAATAAAGTGGATTACTTTGGAGGATAGTTATGATACTGTTGATACCCTAGGAAATATTAAAACTCATGTCTGAAATAACAATAACATATCTGTTCAGGTTCAACAAATATTGTGGTGCTGGTTTCTGATGCTTGAACTTGAACATTTCTTAATTATCTGCTTCCATTACAAGTAATTACTAAAAAGTAAAAGATAAAAAGATGGGTTCAAATTGAAGCAACTGAGTAATACAGCATCATGCTTCATTATAACCATATACATTTATGACTGTGGATAAGGGTTAGACTCTATTGTCTAAGATGAAATGAATTTACTTCTCAGAATTCTCAAAGTTATCCTGTAGAGGTTTTTTTTTTACATATTTGAATAATTTTCAACTATCCATTGAATACGGTATCTATGTTGAACACCTTGAAATCGTTTATTTCATTATTTGATGATATTTGATAGTTGGCACGCAGTGTTATTTAAGTTGGCAGATTTTGAGACTTCATATTTCTGCCAAAATCAAAGCAATTAAGATATTCCAAAAAGTCTAAAGCACCCAAATTTTGAGGTAGGATTTCACATTCAAAATTCAAATTTGAAATGTTGAAGTTCAAATTTGAATCTCCAAAACAGCACATGGGAGGTGGGGCATCAGCTGGACAAGCTGATATAGCCTAGTGTTGAATTCCACCCTATAATATTCATTCAAGTGTATATGGGTATTTCTTAACTAAGGCTGCAGTCTGTACCCATTTGCCTTGGAATACTAAGCCCCCCTTGAACTTAATGTGTTTTACTTCAGAGCAGCCATGTATGGAATTGCACTGTTGTTGTCATGGGGAAAGGGGAGAAGCCTTGATTCAGAGCTGCCATTTTGGGTGGCAGCCTTGTATCCAGGGTCATGTCTAAAGCTGCTCTAATATTTGCATTATGACCATGGTACTGTATGTACAATTCTTCATACAATAATATTTCTTGAAGCAAAGGTAACCAACCTCTATTCCATTTTGTTACATTCACTTCTTGACCTATTATATGTAGGGAAAGGAAGTCATGTTTCTGCCCCTTGACAGGGCCACCATTGTGTCCTGGCACTGGTAAGGGTGAGGGTGAATTAACTTGCTGTGCTGATGCTCTTTGGCTGGTTGCTTCAATATGGGTTAGTTGGGGCTGGGGCTGGCCAGGGCAGATGGCAGGGGAGGTTGCCTGAGCTGGGCTCAGTGTTCTTACTGCCTTCCCTTTCTCCCAACCAGTATGATAACTGTTCGGTCTGTACACAGTATGGTTTGCTGTGGATCCTTGTGGACAGGGCCAGGAAGAATTTTTATGTTTCGTTGCTTGACTTCTGAGGCCTGGGGCCTTTGCCTTCCCTTTACCAAAAAATGTGTCTTGTTCTTCACAGTGTTATTGGTCACACAACTGACTCTGGCACTTGGGGGGTGGACCCTCACCACATATGTCACCACAGAAAGTCAGCGTAAAGGATTTTGTGGGGCCTGGACTCATAAGCCAATCTGTTGATTGGCATAACACAAGGTGGCCCTAGGTTGTCTTCTGCTGCTTCAAAGCCCCAGGTTGCTTGCATAAAGGTTGGGGCTCTTCTGTCCACAGGCAGGCTGTCAGATACTCTGTGTGCCTCCCTGCGTTATTGCAGCCAAACTCAATGAAGTTGCGGG